GAAAAAATGTAAGACAAAAATGGACAAAGTTAAGAACATGAAATGTCAAAATATTTTTAAAAATATGAAGATTTAAAAATATATTTTGAAAACATAGAAGACAAAAAAGGAATGAAGTGTAAAATTTGAAAATGAATGACTAATGAGCTATAAAAATTACAAAAATACCAATGTAAAAATTACAAAATTACCACTCTTTGAATATAAATAGTGAATTGAGCTTAATGAATAGTGAATGAATAGTATTGTATTCTGTTTATTTGTTCCAATTCTTTTAGATTTTTTACTTTATATGAAAATTGGCTCAAATTTACCTTATCTATGAAAAGAAGAGGAGAAGAGTGTGCTTGCTTGAAGGAGCATTTTCCCTGCCCAAGCCACAACAATGGAAATAATAGAAATGCATCCAAATCTTCTAAGAAAAGAGAATTATTCAACTAATATATCAATTTATATTATTATTATTATATTCAATATTTGATTCAAATTAATATTGATTGCATTAATTTATTAAAATAAATTAGGAAAGAAAACGTTGCCATGGATTGATGCTTAGGTGGAATTCTATATCACAAAAATTACTTGGTAAATAAATTTAAAAACAATCATATTTTGAGGGAAAAAAAAGATTTACAAGTACCTAGAATCGAAAAGAACTCGAAATTAATATTTTTCATCTACCAAAAAGTTAATCATGTCCATTTTTTAGTTAATAACTATTCTTTCATTTTTTAAGTTTTTAAATTTAACTGTTCGTTGCTTTGAATAACTTTCAAAGGTAATTTAAACATAAAAGAATTTTTGTAATATTTCTTAAACATGAAACAGGTTTCTCTTGGATTTTGAAATTTGAAATAGAATTTATAATTTCAGGATAAATAAGAAAATTATTATATTCACCCAAAAAAAATATTTTTTCTAGCCTAGAGAAAGAGAAATTTTATGCTACTCCAACGAGTAATTAAAAATGCCCTCTCTATAGGATAGATAGATACAAAAAGAAAAAAGAATTTAAAAAAATATCGAAACTAGATAAAAATATTTTTATTTCTTTTAGGTATCATTTGGTTACCATGAATGAAATGTCCATAATGGAAATGCGAGGAATCGGAATGGAAATTAAGGAATCGGAATGATATTTGTATTCCTATATTATGTTTGGAATACTAATAAGAAATCGAAGTGCAATTTAAATTTTTTAATATGTGATTTTTTTATACAAATAAAAATAATGATTAAAAAAATAATTTTATCAAACTATAATAGTTGTAAAAATAATAAAGGTGATGATAGTAGTGGTTGTGGCAATGGTGGTGGTTACGGTGGTAGCGATTGTGCTTGTGGTGGTTGCGATGGTGGCGGTGGTGATTATAATTGGGGTGATAGTGGAGACGACAACGGTGGTGGTGCTTGAGGTGGTTGCGGTAGTATTGGTGGTGATAGTAGTGGTGATGGTGACGGCGATGGTTATGGTTGTGGTGATGGTGGTTGTAATGGTAAAAGTACTCAATAAACAATAAATAAACAAAATATATTATTATTTAAAAAAAATCATTCTCATTCCTTATTTTTATTCTCACATCTTATATGGGAATGAAGTTACGTGTAAATTTTCATTCTCATTCTCACTCTTCATTCTCATTCTAACTTCATATCTTTTAGCCAAACAACTACAACGTGAGAATAAAACTTGCATTTATATTCTTACTACTCTAATCCCGATTGCCAAACAACACTTTAACATATCCGGATGTGAATGTAGAATAAATATTAGTAGTTACTTCATGAGTGTTTTAAAATTTCTAAAAAGAAAGTTTGTGCCTTAACTTCGGTGTTGTTTCTTTAATGGCAATTTCTATGAATTGGTGGTGGAGAAAGAGAGAGGAAGAGTAGAGAGGGTGGCGAGGAAAGTACAGGAGGTGACAATCCTGGTGGAGAGAGAGGAGGAGAAAGGAGGAAGAAAATGAAAATAAAAATAAAAATGAAAAAAGTTTAAGGATAAAAAATTTAAAAAATAGTTTTGGACATGCATCGGTATTAGGGATGACAATTGACAACGTATAAAACGAGTATCTACTTTACCCGACTCAATAAATGTTCATTAAAAATATTCAATAAGTATTGAGATAAATAAAGGTAAAAAAACACATACTTACCGATATGGTTTTAGAATATGGATACCCACTATTTATCTTATTAATATCCACTAATTTATTTTAATTTTTCAATATACAAGAATCTAATTGCATAAACTTTAAAAAGTAAGGACTAAAATATTATTTTTTTAAAAACTATGAGGCTTATAAAAACTTATACATAAAAGATCAAAATACAAAAAATATGTGGACCAAACAAATTTTCTTAAAAATTACAGAAATTAAAATAAAATATTTTGACAAATTATTTTTAGTAGTACTAAATGGACTAGTAAACATATGTGGGCCGAGTGTTAGCCCCACAAAGATCTATAGAGTAATTTTTTAATAAGTAATAAATAAAGTATTTTTTATGAATAAAATAAAAAAATTAGATTAGTGGGCTAAATATCTATCAATTGTCATCCCTAATTAGTATATTGAATTGGTTACAAATTAAGTGACTTAAAGATCAAGAATAAAAGGGGAAAATGAGGAAATTAGTACAAAATCAAGAATAGAAGGAGAAATCAGTGCCAAAAAAAAAAAAAGTAGAAAAACCTATGGAAACTTTTAACTCTCTTTACGAAAGGTGATCCTGAGACTTGAATCAGGATTTATCAAACCTAAAAACTCCTTTACTATGTTATGCCTGAAGATTCTCCCATCAAAAAATTAATAAATTCGTAAGAAAACATTAGCTGAACTAGGACAATAAATATTCAATATTTGGCATCATTGGCATAATAGCATTACAAATGATGCCAGTCATAAATGAACTTTATTACATGTAAAATTGAACTGCTTACAAACAGCCAAAGTAATGAATCCTATGTTTACAGTAAACTCTTATCACTTCAATGTTTCTTAGTTGCCGAAAAATTGGCAATATCCGTAGTAGAATTCTAAGAAAGTTTTTGGTCCATCCATATTTTGTGCGTTACATGACAAAACCGACCCAAATTTTTTAACAGACAAAGCCGACCCTGATTGTGACCTATTCTAATATCTTTTGTCCAATCTACTATGACTTTTTATTTTATCAGTCATCACAGCCACCCTTTATCTCTCTACTGCTATCAAATTATCAAAATAAAATGATAAAAAGAACCCATAAATAAATAAGAAAAAGAAAAGGAGAAAACTTTGGTCCATAAAACTGAAATAAAAGTGGTAAGAAAAGTAGGAAAAACCAGGATTCGATTCACACTCTCTATTCTATAATATACAAACTCATATCATGCTTTATTCTGCTCCATGCGTTAGCAAGTTGGCATCCCTAAGGGCGTGCATTTTACACACATGGAATTGCAGGTAGGATTTGAACCAAAAGGCATGCAATTTTCTTCATTTCTTTTTATAAATTGAAAGGTGAAAGGCATGCTACACATAGTATTTATGAATACGAGACTGTAGCCATATAGAGAATGAATTCCATGATTGAGAAAACATATGTTGTTGGGATTGGATTAGGTGAATGATACGAGTTTAAAACTCTATTAATTTCTGATTAAGATATGAAAAAGAAAATTCTAATTGTTTAAAATTTGTAGCTACATGTTTTGTGGTAGTTTACAAGTTAGGAATATTTTCGGTTTTACTCCCTTTTTGTACCTTCAGACTAAGTTTTTCTTTTCTTTTTCTTTTTTTTTCTTTTTTTGAATCTTATGGTATTACAAAATAAAAAACTCAGATTAATCTATCGATATTTAGCTTGTCATACAAAATTAACACAACTACATAATTAGTATTTTATATACATAAAAATTCAATAAAATCATTTATTTAAATAATTAGAATCTTTTTTATTCAAGTCAATTAAAATTTAATTCTCATAATCGATAAGTTGTGATAACCATATTAATCCAGAGTTCTCAATCCTATCTTATATCTAGAGAAGCTGGTTTAGCGAGAAGAATATTCATTCAATTCAAAGTTTTATATTCGAGTTTTGTCGTTGGTTTTCTAAAATTGTAACATGCCAATGTTCAAATATTTTAGACTTCAATCATAATATAATATTGCATTTAATTGTTAAATTAATTCTAATATTTAAAATAAAAGAAAATAAATTATATGTGATTCTAGTGACCTACCTCACTGTAAATCTCCAAAATTAAAAAATAAAGATTCAACATATAAAGATATAAAAAAGACACATAAAAACAAAGAAAAGCGAAATTTTCGAGAAGAATTCTTTTTTTGTGCGTGTGAATTGAGAAAGGCTTTTATCATAAAAGCCAGAAGCCAACCAAAAAATAAATAAATAATTCTCTATGAAAAAAAATAAAACAGACTTATATATGTCACTATAAATGATAAAATAAAATCTATAATAAAATAAATGATATATGATTCTGCGTGACATCACTGTAAATCTCTAAAAATAAAAGAAAAATTAAGTACTTCAAAATTTTCTAAATGCTTAAGATTTAATATATTGAGAGAGATATGAAAAAGATACGTGAAAGAAAGAAAAAGAGAACGAAATTTCCGGGTGGAGAAGGCTGAAAGAAAAATAGCAAAGTCAAAAAAAAAAAAAAAAAAAAAGGAGACAGAAAATCAATGACAGGTGACACAAAGAAAGAAAGAAACTACAACAATACAAGCAAGAAAATTACAGGAAACCCAGATGGATTTTCCTTTCTTTTTTTCTTTTCTGCCAAACAAAATAGTAATAATTAATAAAGAAAGAAAGGGAGAGAGAGACATAAACTTAGGACTCTCTTTCTTTCTTTTAATTACTATCATCATCATCCTGTCACCTTCAATTTTCTCGTCAAACAAGCACACCCGGAAAACGAGCTCAAGAAAAGAAGAAAGAAAGAAATAGAAAGTTAAAGAAAAAGAAAAAGAGATAGATTGATGGCTCTTGCTATGGGGATAGGTTTGGGTTCATCTTCTTCGGCAACAGTAGCGGTTGATAAAGCAACAAGCGATCTTTTAATTGGTCCTGATTGGACTATGAATATTGATATTTGTGACTCTGTGAATTCTAATCGCTGGTAATTTTTTTTCTCTTTATGACCTATTTTTTTCTTTTTTCCAAATTTGGAGTTGACTTTGATGTTTTTATTCAGAATTTTATGTTTTCTTTTTGAATTTTGATAACAGGGTTTTTTTTGTGTATTTTTATACGTATGTTTATATGTATTTGTTAAAGATTCTGTTTCTGTAATTGTTTTGGGTGTTGTAACTGAAATTGAAGCTTACTTCTTTGTTATTTATTAATCAGTATGCAAGGAAATTTTTTTTTTTTTCTGTAAAGAATTTTAATTTTATGAGATAGAGGTGTAGTTTATAGGGAGCTGTGTTTTTTTTTTTTTTCGAAGTGGGTTTTTTTATATTAATATGCTGTGTTGGCTGGTGAATTTTTTTGATCAGGCAAGCCAAAGATGTAGTGAAAGCTTTGAAAAAAAGGTTGCAGCAGAAGAGCCCTAAAGTCCAACTACTCGCTTTGACGGTACCTTTGTTTTCTTGAATATACTAGTTTTTCTATATATTTTTTTCAATTTTTATTTTTATTTTGATTAGAGTTTTGTTGAATTCGAACGCTATAGCATGTGTGTTCTGGTATGTGAGAATATTTTTTTTGAGTTTTGCACCACAATATGCATTTGAATTATCTATTTGGGATTCGAGGAAGCTGTTGTTATATTTTTTTGGGGGGCTTGATTAATTGAGTGCAAAATTTACTTTGTAGCTTTTGGAGACAATGGTGAAGAACTGTGGTGATTATGTCCATTTTCAAATTGCTGAAAAGAATGTATTGGGGGAAATGGTGAAGATCATAAAGAAGAGGGTAACTCCTTGATTTTCTTGCTTGAAGTATTTATCCATGACTTGCATGTTTTGTATTCTTAAATTTATTGATGTTTTACAATCCCTGTAGAAATTCTTTTTTGTTGCTTTTTTAACCACCAGAGAAAAGTTCATATGTTAGAAATCAGTTTAGATGATTACCTTTTTCTGAGTCCTTCGTAGTTTTAAAGCCATTCTGTTTCAAGAAAATGTTAAAATTTTGAACTCCAGCAACCAAAAGAATAGGATGTCAGCAGAATATTTAATAGTCAAATGGAGGTTTGACGTACAGTAAAGAGGTGGAACCATTTGTGCTTTGCAATTAACACATTGTTACACTGTGTGATTTATGGATATTCCAATAGTGGTTGTTCATCTCAAACCTTTTAACCAGGCTGGTAAAAATGTTTCAGGAGGAGGAATAATCTGGTTTATTTAAAGAGTAGGATAAGCAGTATTTTTGTTTATTTTAACTATGATAACAGATAAATTGTCTTGATATGATTGCACTTAATGGCACCTTTTCCATAAAAATCATAATGAATGAGCCATTTGGTTTTTATGTCACAAAACTCCCATCTATGTTGTCCTAGGCCTCCATTGATCTCAAAAAAGATGAGCATAGTTGATTTTGTGTGAGAAAGTTGAAACCTTGATGTTTTTATTTTTCTCATATAGTCACTCTCTTTAATCTTTGTCAAAAACAAAGAATGGGCTAGTTTGGGGGAAGCTTTAATATTCTCTAAATATGCCTACTTTAAATGGATTTGCAGACAGATATGCATGTGAGAGATAAGATTCTGGCTTTACTTGATTCTTGGCAAGAGGCATTTGGCGGGCCTGGAGGAAAACATCCTCAGTATTATTGGGCATATGAGGAATTGAGGGTAATTGTCTCACTAAAATATTCAATTATTTTTATTTGATGTTCTTTTTCTGGGTCCAGTAATGTGTGCCAACCCTTGCATGAAAATTTTATTTAGTTGAATTTGGAAGTGGGACTATAATCATTGAATGCTAGACTGATAAGTCCTGGATCTGAACATAATTCATGGTTTTTGTATCCAACCAGATATTGCAGTGGATTACAGTGGGCTGTCAAATTTCTTAATGCTAGAAAGATATGCTCTTAATTTGATCCATGTTAAAACTAATGCATGGTTCATAATAAGTTTTCCATCAAATGATGCTATAGAAGATTGCAATCAAATGAAATGCTAGTCAAATCCTTTGTAGGGAATATTTTGCTCATATGCTCTTGCATCCCTATATGATAGTCAGATCAAAAGTTTCTCATTCATAGTAGTTAATTAACAAATTATGCCATAATACATGGAATCTATACAGAAGAACTAATTTTTAGTTACCGGGTGAATGAATGGCAGCGTGCTGGAGTTGAATTTCCTCAGCGTTCATTAGATGCAGCTCCAATATTTACACCACCAGCAACCAATCCAACATTGAGGCTTACCCAACCTGGTTATGGAATGCCTAGCAATTCTTCTAGAAGACTCGACGAAACAATGGCTGCAGAGATTGAAGGCTTAAGGTAAGGATCAATGGCTGGTTTGCACTTTGTATTTCTATGATGTATTCTCAAAATTGCCAAATCTCATGTTTTGTATTGACTGATATTTTCTTAATTATTGTAGTTTATCAGGTTTGGATTCCATGCGAGATGTTATGGAGCTCTTGGGTGATATGCTGCAAGCTGTTAACCCTGGATACCGTGAGGTATGTGCAGTGAGCTTTTTACCTTAGCTAAACAAGTGAGGAAAATATTTGAGATGTGGTCCTGCTTGTCTTTTCAGGCTGTAAAAGATGAAGTTATAGTCGATCTTGTCGACCGGTGTCGGTCCAACCAGAAAAAGTTGATGCAGATGCTAACTACAACTGGGTCAGTTACTCTTAAATGTCTATTTTGCTGAAAATATGTCCTTGGTATAAAACTGGTAGCTATTGTCTTTGTTTCTCCAAGCACATGTGTGTTGATCCCATGCAAATCTGGTGTATGAATATCTGAAAGTGCCTTGGTCATGATGCAGGGACGAGGAACTTCTTGGTAAGGGTCTTGAACTAAACGACAGTATGCAAATCTTGCTTGCAAAACATGATGCTATTGCTTCTGGCTCTCCCATGCCAACTCAAGTTACAAGCTTAAGCCCCAAACCAAGTGAAGGATGTTCCTCTGACATCAAGCCAACTGAAGCAAGAGATGCCAGCCCAAGATCTACAACTAATTCTGCCACACCAGTTGCTAATTTGACGAGGAACGCAATAGATGAAGAGGACGAAGAGGAGGATGACTTCGCACAGCTAGCTCGGAGGTAGCCCATGCTTATGAAAATAATCTTATATAATTTTTCACTGTGATTTGAACTATTCAATTATTTGCACTTTACATTCATATGGGGGATTGCAGTTCCATACCATCACTATGGAACCCATCATAAAGTAAACACCAGGTGGGAAATACACCATTACCATAACTGTTGGCCAGTATGTTGGGGCACCGGAGCAGTAATTGCTGAATAAAGGACCGTTCAGTACTTTGGTAGCTGGCCAATCTTTATGGAGATCTTACAAATTATAGATCCATTTCCTTTGTTCATGTGCTGCATCATGTGTTCTTACCAAGAGTTTGGTTTATAAGTGTACTTGTTTTGTTCTGTGAACACAGGCATTCCAAAACGCAGTCCGGTTCATCTCAAAGCTCATGTGGAGTAAATGGGGCTCTTGTGCCAGTGGATGCTGGCATGCCTATTGCATCAACCTCTTCCTCATGCAATGCTCTGGCACTTCGTGATCAACCTGCACCGGTTAGAAACATGAAAGAGCAGGATATGATTGACTTTTTGAGCCTTGCCTTGTCAACAACATCAACCAACCCTCCTCACACCCCACCAGTCTCCAGCCCAACCATGCCTCAAAGACCTGTTTCCTCTGGTTCACAAGGTTATTCGTATGTTTCTCAAACTTATCCTGTAAACCAAGGGCACATGCCATACAGCAGCTATGTCGTTCCATGGGCCCAGCCTCAAACTCAGCAGCACCAACTACCACCTCCATCTCAACCGCAGTTACAGCATCAAACTCAGCAGCACCAATTACAACCTCCATCTCAACCACAGTTACAGCATCAAACTCAGCAGCACCAATTTCGACCTCCATCTGAACCCCAGTTACAGCCTCACTCTCACCAACATTTTCGTCCTCCATCTATACCACAGCAACAGTTGCAACCAGAACCCCAACAGCAATCAGTGCCTCAGCCTCAGCCACACTCGCAGCCTCAATCTCAACAGCAATTACAGCCTCAGTTTCAACCACAGTTGCGGTCGCAGCATCCTCAGTACTCGTCTGGCTACCCACCTCCACCCTGGGCAGCTACACCTGGTTATCTCAGCAACCAAAATCACGCATCTGCTACAAATAATTTATTTTCACACCCCCGCGCCAACGCAACTGCATCTTATACACCCGTGCAAGCAGCTAGACCTATGCAGCAATTTAACTCCTTTCCCACAAAAGCAGGCAATGGATCAACCATGAATGGGGATCCTTTGATGAGTTCTGCTTCTAGGATACCCACACCTCCAGGACAAAAGCAGTCCTTTGTTCCCTCTTACAGGTTGTTTGAAGATCTAAATGTTCTTGGAAATGCAGATGGAAGGTATAAAATGACTAGCAGCACACAACCAAGTTTGTCAGGATCTTCGGGCCAAAGTATGGTTGGTGGGAGGAAGTGAAATGCTAGTCTTATAGGGTACACAGACTGGATATGTCTTTGTGAATATGGCTAATGCTAGTGTAATCTTTCAGGTTGGAGTGTGTCTAAGAAGGTCCTTTTAGATGTATCTAAGAAGGTTCTTTAGATTGAGGCGATTATAGTTCTGCATTCCCATTGATTGGTCGTAAATCCAACTCTTGTGTAGCTTCTGTTGGTTGTCTCAATAAACTTGTCTATGATTTTTCTCGATATATGAAATTGATGTGGGATTTGGTGGTTTTGAGCTTCAATTACATGAATTAAGTCGCTCATCAATGGAAGATTGTTGCTGGCATCATCACGCCAGCCTGTTTTTACAATTCTTCTATTGGAATTTCTTCTGTGGTGTTATATGTATGTTTAGAACCATGGTTTTAGATAAACGGCCATCAAATTACGTAATAATTGTTATATAATGGTTTCGACTTTAGAACACCTCTGTTATTGCCGTTATTGGGTCTCCATTGTTGTTTCACATAAATAATGGCGAATAATGACGTTAATGCTATGTAATGCTATCATTTGTAATTATATAAAGACTTTATATTTTTTAAAAAAAATTATTATTTTTTCAAAAAATTAAATTTTTCATGTGTTCTTCAGATGTTATCTACGTATCTTACATCTTTAAATTGTTATGCATTTATTGTTTTTTTTTAATGAGATGTTAAAGTTATTAGAAGAGTTTTTTTTTCTTTTTTTGAGAATAAATTCAATTAAAAAATCAATTATTGTTATATGATAATGACCAATTAGAAATATTATCACACTTAATTAATAAAACTAATAAAACATATAAATTACAATAAATTTATTAACAGCTGCTAATATATTTATAATATCAATTGTCACAACTATTTTTACAACTTCATAGGTAAATTAAAATTACGGGAAGAACTTAGAAGACCTTTAACTAGTGTTAAAAAATATATATTTTCGGCATACACATAACATACTAGAAATTCTGAGAAGTTGCGAACGCGTACTAAAATTGGAATGACCCGTCAATAACATCTCAGTCAAAAGATTATTGGCCTTCCATGCCTTCGATGCTACAACACCATGCTCTATAAAGAGAATTTTAAAGGGGAATTGGAGAATGAAGAAGGCTAGCGCTTACACGGGGCAAACTGAATAAATTTAATTACAAGTTATACAATGGTTAAAAAAAGCCTATCGAACCATAAACCTGATAAAATACAAGGGCATGAACAAGTTAAACCCTTGTGTTTCAGGGATTGATAACCCGATTATCATAGTCTGTTTGCAACACTTTCAATTATGTAATGACAAGAGTGTTGCTTTCACAAATGAACAAAGGGGTGGAAGGACCAATGAACACACCAAAGGACAAGATGCGCTGAGGAAAAAGAAGCTATGTACACACATTTTACCCATACGGCCATTACCCATATAAAAATTATTTGCCAGAGCCCCCACCCGCAATATGCAGGACTTCTTCTCACCATCTGACCCTCAGCACTGGAGGCTAATGAAATATGTAGCACACAGTTCAGCACGCCAAATCGTTTCGGCAAAGAGGTTTTGGCGTGGTAGACTGTCACATCTGATCATAAAATGGAAGCCATAACTAGCATTGGTGACATTAACTGATCATTCGTCTGCTTGTGCTGCCACCAAAAAGGATGACTTAGTCAACCAGTAAAGAAATGTGCTTTCATCTTGCTTGAGCGTTGTCATTGGCATAGATCGAGAATAAGGCATCAGTAGCACCAGCAGCTAGGAGTACTTGGTAAGGATGGAACGCGAGCCAGCTTACAGGACCGATCTTCTGGGCCATTATGGTTAGGTGGTATCTAATGGAACCTAATTGTTCACCATTTAGACTGAATAATTTAATAATTTGTTTTGCCGATCCACTGGCAATAATAGGGGCATGCCTGTGAACAGCTAAAGCTGTGAGCGAGCCCCTGTGGGCCTTGATCGTGAGATAGGGATCCCTATAATTTCTCATATCCAGGAACTTCATGTCACCAGCCTGAGATGCACTGACAATCTGAGAGAAACAAGAGAGAGAATCTTCGCATGGTGAGATACAAATCCACAAGCAATACAAACAAACAAGCATCATGAAGTGCACCAGTTACCTTTCCAGGATCAAGCCCAGGTTGAAAGCCAATCCCCACAACTCTTTCTACATTCTCAGTGTGTGGCCGAGTAGCACAAACAAGCCTAAGATTAGAAAAAATATGACAGTTAGAAGGGAACACGAAGTAATACATCTTTTTGAGTTTCTGATAAAGGTCACTGAATAGTCTGTTCTAAAATAAGATTTAAAATATTTCATCATATAATAAAATCCCAAACATGTTTCGTCATGCACAATCCCAAGACTTATTTCACTCTAAAACATTACAAACCAGCTTATTTGAATTTGGAATCACTATCATGTCAAGGTAGCAACAGTAACAAGCTTATCAACGTCAAAGACAAGTAAACATTTATGCCATGCCAGAACCAGAGGAACACTTTACGAGCAGAGCTTACATTTCAGGAGTCCGGACATCATAGAGTTTGACAGATCCGTCGACAAAACCAGCAGCAAATTGACCTCCATGAACTTGAGAAGCAGACTGAACAAATAAACAAAATTGAAGATTGTTCAACAAAATGGACATGTTACTAATAATGACAGCAGATATTAGATAAACTACCAACTAGCAATTAAATAAAAGATACCAACGACAAGGATGTTCAATATGGTGGCAGAAACAATAGTACACGAAAATCATGAACATTCTTAAATTTGGACAAGATTGCAATTTACATGCATAATCTTTGCCATAAACAATTTTGGGCGAGGATCCACCATATCCATATGAATTCAATTTGAAGATGCTATTGAAACATGTAGTACCAAGAACTGCAGCATTTAGTCATTGGCAATAGAAAGCAAATTGCCATGTAAATAAGTGGTGAAGGAGAATATTCCCTGATACACCAGAGTAGCGCATTAATATGCAATGCCATAAGAAAACCAATTCACTTTTAACCCAGGCAACTATGAAGGCTATGTTACACCCAATGAAGCTGGTGTAAATACAAAGAGAAGAAATGAAACCTCCATAAAGTTTATATCACTCAAGATAATGTACCAAACGTCCTATTGTGGAGCTGGAGAACATGCACAAATGCATAAAGGACAATTACAAGGGTGAAAACTGTCGGGACGGAGATGAACTATTTATCCATTACAGTTGGCTTACACCAAGATTCTACCACCAGGACTGTCCTTTTGGCTTGCGGCCTCTACCTTCTGCTATCATGATGGAGAAGAAATTGATTGTCCATATTTAAGATGATACACCAAGTTTTTCATTATTGCAGATTATGCAATTATAATGGATGAAACCAGAGGCAGGGCAAACTAAAAGTTTATGGAGTATTCAACAAACACTGCATTGAGATTAAGTGGAAATAAAGCAATACATTCCTCATTACTTCAGCAATTCCAGAAATAGAGAAAAAGGTCTGATCAGAAGGAGTTAGGTATTGCACATTCAAATGCCCAAGTAGAAGGGAACAACATTGGGGGAAAAAAAAACAATTATAGCACTAGTTAGAACAGAACAGAGAAGCAAGATCCATGGAGCAAACTCCAGCTAGTTTGGATCCAAGGCTGGGTTTCATTCTGTTGGAAACAGCTTTCTACAAACCTTGGCAACATTTCTGTAGATTCTACTGTTTACGATGTTAGGGAAAAGCTCTCAGGCATAAATAGTTAACAATTGAACATCAACAATGGACAAGGTAATTATTGAAGCTCCACCAGCCAATAACACATCAGCATTTTACCACCAATAGGTACATGCATGATAACTTTTTCTTCTATTACATAGGAATGCCAGAAGTGGTGTCATGTGAGTGTCTACACAATCAAACTTGAATAGTAAAATAAACAGAAAGTACAGAGAAGATTGGTAAGTACAAAAAGCAATGACAATAATGAAACGAAAAGAACCATTTTACATTTATAAAAGATATATTCATGCCGTCAGAAACTATATTATTCTCATTTCACATGCACCTGGATCATTCCCTCATCCCAAGCCACCATGAAGAAAAGAATCTCTTTCAAAACTACAGTGTTTTAAATTTGCAACTTTTAGTAAATTCTAACTTCATTCTGCTATTATCTACTGTAGCTAAGAATGATACTAATTTCAAAAACTCCCCAGGGAAACAACAAAACTCACCATTGATGAGACGCTACAATCTGATGATGAAGGAATAGAATGAATAAGCTGCTCTTTATCCAGGTCCCAAAGCATGATGGAAGATACCTCACCAGAAGCATACTAGTAAAGTAACATTAGAAATAGAAGAAACTATTATGAACATCACATTGAGAATAAAAACAGTACCACAATATAATATTAGAGCTAGTATGTACCAGATATCCAGACTGTTGCTGCCAGTCCACAACAGCATTCACACTCCGCACACCAGGTTTATGACCTTGGATTGAAGAAAATGCAGTGACAAGCTTTTGTCTACCCTTCAGCGAGTAGTCTTTCCAAATCCGTATATTTCCATCACCTACAGCAAAAACAAGTACGGCAAAATGAATCTAAGCATTTTAATAAAGGACCAGTCTAGCCACCATGAAATGAATTGCAAATCAGTAAAAATCATTACATGAAGCAACAAGAAGCAAACTGTCATCAAGCTCATTTACAAGACACAGCTTAGAAATTCCTCTGTCAGGAAAATCATGATTATCAAACCCATTGAGAAGGGTAGTTTCCTCATAATTCCATACCCTACAAAGAAAGAAATCAGAGATAAGATGAAAAATATTTGCCTATCATATGTCACCAGGGAAAAAAAACAAAAGAATCCATACTCCAGTTTGTGTTTGCCCAAAGTCTTTCTGCAGTACCTCAACGGGATTTGGGAAGAATACATGCTGAATTGTTCTTACTAGGAGCAAAAGGTAACAGAGTAAACAGGACTAAA